AAAAAAAAAAAAAAAAAAAGACTTACAATAAACAAAGTGTTGGGCCGGGCGCGGTTGCTCAGAAATGTTGGGCCGGGCGCGATGGCTCATGCCTGTAATCCCAGCACTCTGGGAGGATGAGGTGGGTGAATCATTTGAGGTCAGGAGTTCAAGACCAGCCTGACCAACATGGTGAAACCCCCACCTCGACTAAAAATACAAAAATTAGCCAGGCATGGTGGCAGGCACCTGTAATACCAGCTACTCGGGAGGTCGAGGCACGAGAATTGCTTGAACCGGGGAGGTGGAAGTTGCAGTGAGCTAAGATCGCGCCATTGCACTCCAGCCTGAGTGACAGAGCAAGACTCTATCTCAAAAAAAAAAAAAAAAAAAAAAAAAAAGCTCAAAAAGAGGCAGACACACCAGAAGGTAGTGTCCAGGGTAAGACTGGGAATTCTGACCCCAAAAGTGGATCCCTGCCAGCCAGGTCCCTCAGAGTTCCCACCATGGCGAAAGGTACTTCTTGAGCAGAGCCCACCGATCCTAGGAAGTCAAAGGGCAAAGGCCCTCCTGGATGAGCGGGCGTGTGCACAGCTGACTGTGCCTGGGTCTGTCACTGCCTCCCCAGCCACCCTAATCTTAGGGCCCTCAGTTCTCCACCCAGCAGCAAGCTCACTCTCTCTAGACGAGAAATGAGGTGTTGCTCCCGAGCAAGCACACGAGAAACTTCCAAATGGGACCAAAGTATGTTGCAGAAGGTCCTGAAAAGCAGAAAGAACACCCAGAAGAGGTACATGAAGACCAAATGCCACAACGGATGTTTAGGAACTAACCATCCCAAAGAGTGGGCAGAAGACAGACCGACCCAAAGTGGGATAGGGACCCACATGTGTGCCCAAACCAACAGGTTCTTGTGCAATGTTAATGATTCCTCTGGAGATGAGGGAAGGAAGTGACCCCACTTCCGTTTCTACATTCCTCCTCAGCATGACGCCATAGCTATGAGAGATGTTTTCTCAGCATGGAAGTCATATGTGCAGGGCTTAAAGACAGTACAGCTCTGAGGAAGGAAACTGCAAAGAAAATGCTACTCTCACTCTTCCAAAGCAGCAAAGGAAAAGTGCACTGAAATCAGGCTTGCCATGGCCTGGCAGATCAGACTGTTCGAGAAAGAGGGGATGTGGCAGGCACAAGAGGAAAGCCACCCAAAAGGAAAAGAAAAGAGATCAGGGGCCAGGCACGGTGGCTCATGTCTGTAATTCCAGCACTTTGGGAAGCCGAGGCAGGCAGCTCACCTAAGGTCAGGAGTTCAAGACCAGCCTGGCCAACATGGTGAAACCCCATCTCTACTAAAAATACAAAAAATTAGCTGGGTGTGGTGGCGCATGCCTGTAGTCCCAGCCACTCCAGAGGCCGAGGCAGGAGAACCACTTGAACCTGGGAGGTGGAAGTTGCAGTGAGCTAAGATCTCACCACTGTGCTCCAGCCTGGGCGACAGAGCGAGAGCCTCTCTCTTAAAAAAAAAAAAAAAGAAAAAGAAAAAAAAAGGGATCAGGGATGGGGCATGGTATAGTACTACCTATGACAGGTTTTGTAATCAGGCAGAGCCAGGTTCAAATTGTGACTATATTATTTCTGGGCTGCTGAAACTTAAGCAAGTTATTTCATCACAGAACCTTGGTTTCTTCATGTGTACAACAAACAAGACACCTATTGCAGAGAAAAACTGTCTCAAACTGTCTTTTTTCTTTACTCTCACACCATAATCATCAACACAAGAGACTTCTGTGACCAAATGTGAGGGGGTTTCTTCCCCACCCCAAGCAGCGGACACCAGCTGGGTGTCCTCTTACTCAGTTCTCACACTGTCTACCCGGAGAGAGTGTCAGATCCCACGGGGTGAGGGCTCAGTCCCCAGGACTGCCCCACCTCTCCACCACCATGCCTCAAACGTACCAGTCGCAAGTCTGGGCCTCCAGAACTTCTGACCGACTGGCTTTAGGCTGGGGTTCCCATGACCCCCTCTTTGAGTTTGATTAATTTGATGGAGCAGCTTACCTAACCCAGGGAAACACTTATGTTTACTGGGTTATGAGGGCAAAGGATACAGATAAAGAAATGCTTAGGGCGAGGTACGGGGGAAGAGGTGTGTAGCTTCTGTGCCCTCCCTAATCAGGCCTCTCTCCAGGAACCTCCACGTGTTCCGGTATTTGCAAGCTCCCCGAACTCTGTCCTCTTGGATTTTTATGGAAGCTTCATGACATCAGCATTCCTTCCCCCAGGATACAGGATCCAACCCTCTCAGGGGAGGGTTTTAAGGCCCACAGTCAGAAAGGTGGGGAAAGATTAGGGTGGAAGGAGAGCAGGAGAAGGTCAGAGGCCTGCCCCTGAGGCCTACCACATCTAACATCATAACATGAAACCAGAACAAGGGCTATAGATAGGAGTTACAGGCCTGGGTCCATGGATGAAACCCATATCCTCACACCATAATACCATCTCAACTGTGAGAAGACTAAAGCTGATGATGCAAGCAACGTGCTTCACATACAGTAAGAGCTAAAAGCAGCTTTACATGTTATAAAGCAATAACAACAAACTCTACCAGCAAGATCACAAGACTCTCTCCATGAAAATCCAGCCTTCAGGGAGGGCAGAGGCAAGTCTGCCAACTCACCCCACACACACCACTCCCTTATCCGCTACCACGGAGATCAAATACACAGGTCAGCTGGGGAAGGATCAGCGATACCCGACCCCAGAAGTGACTTGCTGCAGGAAGCAAGTTCCCCACTATCAGAAGCAGATGCCTTTAAGTTCTGGTCAATGTTTGCAAGCCCAGGGGATATAAAACCAAAAGCATTAGTGCTCACTAACTGCAAGACTTAACAGCGTGTACACCAGTAGAAGCTTGGGAGCTCCAGGTTACAAGGTCTGCTAGGAGCACAGCTGATCCAGGAGCCTCCCTGCTCTCACCAATAACCAACCTGCAGCAGCCTCCAAACCCCTGGTGTAAAACCTACTGTCAACCCCTCCAAACTCTGCCTGATTTATCTGGCTCTGCTAACTTGCAAGCTAAGATTCCACATTTGTGTTGCATGAGCTGCTTTCTGCCTGGAGTCCTCCTTCCTTTTCCACCCATTTGGCATACTCCTACTGTCCTTCTACACCCAACTCAAGTGTCACTCCCTCCATGAAGCCTCCTCTGAGGCCTCATAGAGAACAAACAACATCACAGACCCGGTTTTTATCACATCCTGTGTCCCCCAATTATCTCAAGGCTTTGACTGCTGACTCCCTACTCCTCCGGAGTGATGCGGGGCAGCTGGGTTCCTACTCCTCCTCTGGAAAGCCTTGATAATCTCTGCTTCACCACAGAGCTCGTCGCCACAGGCACGTGGGGACCATCCCACAAGCATAGCCTGAGAGCCTGGCTCCAGTATCAGTTACACACTAAGCGTCACACTTCAAGCTGTGACTGCCTCATAAGTGCTCTGGAGATTACAGTTTTGGATAGTCTCTGGCAGCACTTCCCAAAGTGTCGTCCACAGAACT